TTTTATGAAAAAATTTTATTTAAAAATTATTTATATATTTTTATATATTAATATTATAATAAAAATAACAAAAATAATTTTTTTATTTTAATTTTTATGATATAATCCTTAACTCATAAATTTTTTCACACTTAAAAATTTTTTTTTCCAATTTTTCCTACGTGGGATCCACTTGAAAATTTTTTTATCAGTTTTTTTTATACCAATTTCTTATAAACACCAAAAAATTAATAACCTAATAAAATTTTATTACAAAATTTATCAAATTTTTATACAATATTTTTTTAATAACTTTTTAAAGTAAAAACTAGTCTAATAAAGGTAGCTATCTAATCTAACCAATCAAACCAAACAGGCTGTCAGGCTCTAAAAGAAATATACATAATAATCTAGACTTATATATAGAAATCTAAATTAATAATCCCATAGTAGAGCGTTGGAGGTACTACACAATCTTATCTAGTTATCTTATCTCCAATGATATCAAACAAAATGTATATGGAAATTGGGCCTGAACAAACTAGCCCACTTAAAATCAGCCTAAAAATTGCACTGGTTTGATGGTTCCTAAACCAGAAGTACAAGATAAAATACTCAAATTCATTTTTAAAGTATAGTGATAGAAACGAATTTATCTCTTAACAAAAAATGAGAACAAATTTTCTCATAAAATTTTTGATTTAGATAAATCACTTTAAATTTAACGTATGACATTATCTATCATCAATAATCTATTAATTTGTTAACAAATTATTGACGTTAAATGATATCAAATTAATAAATTACTAATGTCAAATAATTTTACATCGTTAAATTTAAGGTGATTTACCTAAATCAAAAACTTTATTATAGATTGATCTTTATTTTTTATTCAAAAATAAATCCATCCCTATTACTATTACTATAGGATAGATTTGGATATTCTGTCGAAGTACAAAGAGTCAAAAGAACAAGAAATTTCACAGAAGCACCAGAGAAATATGTGTCAATAAAGAATTAAAGATGGATGGCTCAAAGCCAGCTCATTTATTCATGCATTGTCCTTTTGTTTATACTCCCAAAAACCATAGTGCAACTTGTTCCTCATGCACAGCCTTAGTTCTCCATGTCACCCCCCTACGTGTCTCCATGTTGCACCCCTCTTCTCCTCTATAAAATTGCACCACCCTCCACCCCCACTTCAAATTTCACATCTTTCTTCCTTTTAATCGTATGTTTTTGGCTCTGTTTTGTGTGTTTTGATTACAATGGCAGACCGTCCAGCGCCCCACCAGATCCAAGTGCACCCACAGCACCACCGCTTTGAGGGTGGAAGGCATTATTATCCCCAAGAGGGTCCATCGGCAAGCCAGATTTTGGCCGTCATCACCCTGCTCCCCATAGGTGGTACTCTGCTTGCTCTGGCAGGGCTGACACTGGCGGGGTCTGTCATCGGGACGCTCGTCTCCGCTCCTCTGTTCATCATCTTCAGCCCTGTTCTAGTCCCCGCTGCCATCGTCATTGGGCTAGCTGTCACCGGTTTCTTGACGTCCGGAGCTTTTGGGCTGACAGGGTTGTCCTCACTCTCCTATGTCATAAACTGCATCCGGAAGGTCACCGGAGCTGACCAGTACAGTCTGGACCAGGCTAAAAGTCAGGTGGGGCTGAAGATAAAGGATTTGGGACAGGGGATTCAGAGCAAGGCTCATAGAATTGGAGATTAAATCATGGAAGGCAAAATGGATTAAAGGAAGGTTTATAAAGCAATAAACTGTGGGGTTCCCACAGATAGGAAGGAATTTACTGGTTTCTGAGTGTGATAAACAGTGTATCTATGCAGTCAACCGTCTATGTTTAGAAAGAGCTGGTGGGTTTCTTGTAAAATAATGTTCATTTTCTGTTGGTTTCTGTGTCACCAATGTTGAATTCAATTGTGTTTCTACAATGTTTGCTTTATCTTCTGCTCCATCTTGATTCCGGAACTTGTATAACAATATTCCTTTTAAACATGGCCAGTCACAGCACCACTCGGAAAACAATGATCGAACATTTAGTTCAAGCCTGCATAAATCTACTCGAGCAAAGATTGTGTGCGTGAGAAAACACAGAATGTGAAAATTATGTTACAAATTGAATTTGACAAGGAATTGTATGTTTTTGAATTTCGAATGGTATCAAATTATAAATTATAAATTAATCTTT